GAGCCACATATATAAATCGAAATCTTGAGTAGCTGTCTTATAAAAGCAAACAGAAACAAGAGAAAATAATTTTAATAACATTTCTTTTAACCCAATATATCCAAAATGTTATCATTGTTAGACATAATTTTGGAAACATCAATGAGATATTTTACATTATCTTACTCATATTGGCTTCAATACCGTGTATGTGTTTTATAATAGTGTAGATGACTAGCCACAGCTCAAGTTCTCAATACCCTTCTGTGGCTAAATGACTTCCACATTGGCCGATTGGAGACTCTCTTTTTGGAGATTAAAGGTATGGGCAATTTATTCAGCCAACCAGATAGCTCAGAATATCAGGAGACTTTAGGAAGGTTCCACCAGGAAAGTCATGTGGGGGGGGGGGGCCTGTTTCCATGCAAAGGCAGCCCACAGCAATCATTTCTTAAGTGTTTACTTACTTATGTTTTGTCCTGGTGTTCACAGAAAGTAGATGCAAGCACTGTTCTTCCGAAACCCTAAACCCACCTGACCAGCCCAGATTCAGACTTTCTCCTCTAGGGCTTCCAACAGAGTTAGAACGGGCAGTGGCCATAAATGACCTATTTTCTGTGGTCTCTAATTATTAACCCACCTCAGTCCACACTTTTAGAAGACCTAAGTTTTAGATATTTTTAATACATTTTTAAATGTTTATTTAATTTGCACGCACGAGAGAGGGAGAGCTTGTGCACATGCATATACAAGTGGTAGAGGGGCAGAGAGAGAGAGGGAGAGAGAGGTTCCAAGCTCAGTGGCGAGTATGATGCAGGGCCCAATTTCAAGACCATGAGACCATGACAGGAGCTAAAATCAAGAGTCAGATGCTTAACCAACTGAGCGACCAGAGCACCCCTATTTAAATATTTAAATTTGTATGTATTTCATTTATTTAAATATTTATTTTAAAATATTTAAATATTGCATTTTAAAATATTTTAATATATTAAGTGCCTTTTCTGTGTTACATCTGAGTGTGCTTTCACATACACCACGATCTTATTTAAGCCTTTCAGTAACTCTGATTTAGGGCTGTTATTTCAGTTTTCTTTTTCTTTTCTTTTTTAAAAGAAATTTTAAAAACGTTTATTTATTTTTGAGACAGAGAAAGGCAGAACATGAGAGGAAGAGGGGCAGGGACAGAGAGTGACACAGAATCCAAAGCAGGCTCCAGGCTCTGAGCACAGAACCATGAGATCATGACCTGAGCTGAGGTCAGATGCCCAACCCATTGAGCCACTCAGGTGCCCCTATTCCAGTTTTCAAATAGGGAAAGTGAGGATTGGAGAAGTGCTGTGACCTTATGGGAAGAGAACTTGGAGAAAGAAAAAGTTTCTAATGCAGGTCCATCCATTTTCCCTCAGTGAGGCCTCCTACAAGATCTATGGGAAATGGCATGTACGTCACACCCTAGCAGCTTGCAGTTAAAGCGAATGAAACATCCTCGTTTCATCTAAAACCCAGAACAAGTCCTAGAGTTCAAAACCTGGGTCAGCTCCTAACCTGATACTTATTAGCTGTACGGCATTGGACAAAGCAATTAATAGAAATAAAAATAACTAGGGTCTATTGAACTTCTTCCATATATGAGGGTCTGGCCCAGGCAATTACTCTTCCTTATAACATAGATAGTTCATTTTATACATCAGGAATCTGGGCCTCAGAAAAAGTAAAGTGCCAAAGGTCATACAGCCAATAAGCAGGAAAATCAGGATTAGAAATCATTATTAAATGTACTAATGTTTGTTGTATAATGTAACTTTTAGCCCACCCACCCTCCCTTGGCTACTTTAAAAAGGCCGTCTTAAAGAATTTCAAGACCATTAAGGAATACCATAAACGCCTGTATATTCATGCTACAAACCTAAAAGGTTGCAAAGCAGGGTGCCTGGGTGGGTCAGTCGGAAAAGCGTTTGACTTGATTTCAGCTCTGGGTCATGATCTCATGGTTCATGAGTTCGAGCCCCAGCTGAGGCTCTGTGCTGAGTCTGCTGGAGATTCTCCATCTCGCTCTCTGCCCCTCCCCCACTCGCACTCTGTCTCTCTCAAAATAAATAAATAAACTTTAAAATAAATTTAAAGAAAAACGGTTGCAAAGCATGGGCAAATAGGAATTGTTTTCAATATGCTTTTTTTAAAATACAAAAATAAAGCCTTTATGATTTATTTACAATGTATGATAACTTGCTGAAACATTGGAATAGCTGAGCGTTCAAAAGAGATAACTATATTTTTTGCACTGTTCAGCTCATGGGGCTGTTGTATTGAGACAGAAGGAAAAGTAAAAATATATCCAAAGTATAGAGGTGACAGACTTCATATGTTACAAACATGTTTAAAGCAAACTGCAGTTATATACTAATATGAAATGTATTTGAAGGTACACTTCCTGATATTTATTGGGAGCCTGCAACTTGAAAAAAAAAAGTAAAAGAATAAAAACATTTCTAGAAAGAAAGGAGGGAAAGAAATACTGACAGAAGATAAAAGAAAAATTGTGAAAATAGCTGTCTTTCTTGAAAGAGCAGAGAAAGGGAGGGAAGAAGGAAGAGAGATAAAGAAGAAGGAAAAAGAATGGAAAGAAGGAAACATAAAGAGGCACAAAGAAAAGAAGAGAAAAGAAAAAGGAAAGAGCTATGAAAAAAATAAGCAGGAACATTTGGGGTCAGTCAGTTCCTAGAAGAAAAAGAAACTGGCCATGACCTGCTTAGCTTTGAGACTGGGTACAGTTTTTGCGACTGTTTAGAGAAAATCTAGCACTTTCCCCACCATTAATCTTTTCTAAAGAAAGACTTTGTTCTGCACCTGTATAAACAATCCAGATTTATAAAACCTATATGCCTGCCTCTACCGTGTGAGACTATGTATTTATACTGATAGATTCAAGTCATCAATAGGTGATGCAGAAAGCTAGCCTAAGATCCCCTTTTTACCTCCTTTGCTCCCCCTTCTTTTTCCTCCCTCCATCTTCAGCACCTAAGATCAAGTTCAAGTTCAAGCATTCCTATAAAGAACTCTACATTCTGTGAATACCCTGCCTTTTCCCAGCCCAGAGAGAACTGAAAATGAGCGATATTTTTATTCAACTGATCTCCAAAGGAGTCCCTGCCCCATCTCAAAACAAAATGACCAAATAAGTGGGGAGAAGACCTCTGCAACCGAGGGAGGGGTCGTGTGAAACATCCCCCCACCGGGGCAGCCTGGCCTGGGAGACCAAGGTGGATGATGCCTGAGTGATGAAGTCAGCCCAGGCCAGCCACCTGTTGTGGCACTTCAGGCACGAAGCCGGGAGCATTTGTTCTGCTGAAGAGCTGGTGGAGGGAGGCTGGCCCCCTGGCTTCTGCCCACTCTGTCCTGGGCTGACTGCACATTTCTTTCCTTGTACTTGGCTCGGTTTGGGAGCCTGTGAGCTTTTAGGGAAAGGACAAGTCAACACCTAAGTTGGGTCTGAAGATTCCGATTCCTCATTGGAAAACGTAGTAACCATACCCCAAGCTCATAGTGGTTTAATTGTTTTGTTGTTTTCTTTGAGTTTCAGTGGGCGGTCATACGGCGTCCAGCCCAGTGTCTGGAGCACAGCAGGTACTCAGTAACTAGCCATTAGTGCCTCCTTCCAAAGTGAAGTACCCATTCCGGGAGCTCGAGAGCACCTATTGCAAAGGTGCTTTGAGTTAGAAAATAATGAGGCCACTGTTCTGGGTTTTGTTTTGTTTCCTTTGGGGGAGGGAAGTGGGCAGAGGGTTTATTTTTGGTTGGCATGGAACACCATAATTCTGGATGCTATTTTGTCTTTTTTTTTTTTTTTTTGACGATTGTGCTGATTTAGCATTCTGCATCGGGAGTGTGCTCTTCAATACACAACCTAAAAGAGTAATCAATTCCCTAGACTACAATGCAAAGAGCTGGGGCAAGAGCTTCTATCTTATGCATTGTGATATTAATAATAAAATGAAGCATGAAGTTCTCAAGGCAGTGGAAAATAGAAGATACAACGCTCGTGGTGTGTGGCTGGAGAGGCGTGTTAGCGGCTGGAATACGGAGGGGCCAGGGATGCTAAACTCGAATTTCCAGTCCGTATTCTACTCACCAGCCCGGTGACTGGGGGTCCTTCACTTAAATTTCTATCTCTGTGGCTTGGCTTGAAGTTCTGTAAAGTGGAAATAACATTTAAGTCACAGATGTTTGAAAACGGAACGAACCGAGGTACTAAAAGTGCTTTGTAAATCATAGAGCCGTGTTGGAGTGAAGGACAGGAAAAAGGAGAGATGAGTGTTGCTCGGTGCGGTTTGCTTGCTTTGCTCTTAGGCTTTTGTCGGGCAAGCCCAGGACAGGCAGTCCTACAACATGATGCGTTACGAACTTGGGAAACAGTTCCGCTGAAAAGGCTGGGAGAGAAGCAGAGGTCGCGATCCAACGGTCTCTAAGTGGCTGGCCATCTCCGCCATCGCTACGACTAGTTGGGCGTGGAAGCGGGGTGTGTACGAACCCGCTCCCCTCCTTCGCTTGCCCGACACACGTCTCTCACTGTCAATCCGAGGGTCCCACGCACCCGGGGCCCCAAATCTCGGCTCAGCAGAGACTTCCCCTTCCCTGCCCCCAACAGCGGATCCTGAGTGCCGAAAACCCGTCCCCACCCCTTCCACGCCCCCGCACCACCTCTTGCCCCCCTTTCCAACCCCCTCTTCGTTGCCCGGGTGGTTCGTTCCGAGGAGTACAAATAAACAGTCCTGTCAAAAGGCGCAGCTAGCGCTAGAGCGCGCGGGGCCGGGGCCGGGTCCGGGGCGCGCACCTCTCGCGCCGCGCTCTCCGGGGGCCGCCGCGCCGCTCGCTCCCCGGCGGGCGCCGCCTACGCGGGACTCCGGTCTTCCCCCGAGCTCGGCCCGGCCCCCGCCTCCGCCGGAGGGAGCGGAAGGCCGACACCGCGAGGCTGGCCCGGGGCGGGAAGGCGGGCGCGCGCGGGCGTGCGGGACGCGGTGATGTCCACCGGCTCGGTGAGCGACCCCGAGGAGATGGAGCTGCGGGGGCTGCAGCGCGGGTACCCGGTCCCCGCCTCCAAGAGGCCGGCCCTCCGCGGCGCCGAGCGCAGCTACATCTCGCCCAGTGACAACTCCTCGGCGGAGGAGGAAGACCCCGACGGCGAGGAGGAGCGGGGCGCGCTGGGCGCGGCGGGCGGCGCGGAGGGCTGCAAGAGGAAGCGGCCGCGCGCGGCTGGGGGCGGCGGCGGCAAGAAGCCCCTCCCGCCCAAGGGCTCGGCGGCCGACTGCAAGCAGTCGCAGCGGAACGCCGCCAACGCCCGCGAGCGCGCCCGGATGCGCGTGCTGAGCAAAGCCTTCTCCAGGCTCAAGACCAGTCTGCCCTGGGTGCCCCCGGACACGAAGCTCTCGAAGCTGGACACGCTCCGGCTGGCTTCCAGTTACATCGCGCACCTGCGGCAGCTGCTGCAGGACGACCGCTACGAGAACGGCTACGTGCACCCGGTGAACCTGGTAGGGGCGCCCCACGCCAGGCTCGGGGCGAGCCGCGGGGAAGTGCTCAGGGGGCCGCCCGGGAAGAACCCGAAAGGGGGGCCGGGGTGCTGGGAGGGGTGGTGAGGAGGCCACTTAGTTTCTTCCAAGCCGTTTTCTTGGAGAAGAACCGTGCACCCGTCAGTGCTTCCTCAGTCTGATCTTTGTACCTGGTACTTTGCCCTGTGACCGCAGTTGGCTCATATCCTACTTCTGGGGTGAATCTCGATGCCATCTGCGTCCACTGCCCGGTTGCAGATTGAATGGCAAATCTCTCTTGCCCAACTTTTTCCGTCTAAGAGTCATATAATGAGACCCACTTACTGAAAGGAAGGAGAGAAGGCCGAGCTTTCGTTAATAAGCCTTTGGATGTTTAAAAAGTTCTTGCCGAATAGCAGAGGTTTCCCCAAAAGGGATTTGTCTGGAAAGTCCCTTTCTAACCTGCCAACTTTCCCTTCTTGAGAACGAACTTATTCCCAGTTCCTACAGTGGAGGGCTGATGGTGTGTGTGTGTGTGTGTGTGTGTGTGTGTGTGTGTGTGTGTGTTGGGGGGAAGGGAATAAACAGACAAAATCCCAAAGTTTTGCAAGTTTGATCGTGAGAGCAAAGTCCAGGAGGAAGCATGGACGGAAGTCTTAACGTCTCACGCAATCAAAATCCAGTAAAATCAAAACCCTAGTTTAGAGAGAAGATAGCCACATTCCCAGACACTGATAAAATCTGAGCAACTCAAAGCCAGGGATATTCCAGGGTTCATTTAGGAGAACGGTTTCGGTTTGAGACGATATTTTTCTCCTTCCATGTCTGACGCTCTGTTTCACTTTACAGACATGGCCGTTCGTGGTCTCAGGACGACCCGACACCGACACCAAAGAAGTTTCTGCAGCCAACAGATTATGTGGGACCACCGCTTAGATGGAACTCACTTGCTGGGATTATTGTTTAAGCGCATGTGTTTGGGGACCACGGAGAAAAGGGAGCGCGAGAACCCCCAAAGAATGGGGAGAAGAGCCATCGGATTCTCCTAAATTCTCCTCCACACCCCACCCACCTGAACTGTGAGCAGGACTCGTGGCGGGCGCTGGGGACAGAGCCGGAGGGCTGGCCACGTGGCTGTCATCGCAGGGCGCCAAGGGCTGCTGCGGCTGCAGGGGATCTGGGCGACGACAGTGCTCTTCTCCCAAAAGACCTTCCTTCTGTCTCTACAACGCGGAACCAGATCCGGCCTCGGGCTTTAGCAGTGTAGACTAACCCCCGCTCTGTCGTCTAAGTCCAGTGCCAAGCCGCCTAGGAGTCAGTTTCCCGACTGAGCCCGGTGTCCGCCTACGACGGCGGGGCCGTGCGCAGCACCGGCTGGCTATGGTTAGGCAATGGTTAGAACGCGCTCTGGAGGATGGGCTTTAAAGACAGCACTCTTCACGCGAGACCAACATCGGGGCATGTTTTTAATGCAAAGAGAGGAGAGTGGCATACCTGGGCCAGCTTTGAACCCTACAAGGCCCCAGGCTCCGAGAGGAAGCGGCATGCCCGCTCCGCCTAGAGAGAGAGCGGGGCGCTCTTTCCCGGACCACCTGACCCAGCTTTGCCCGGAGCGCTCCGGGTGGCGGTGCCTCCTAGCAGCAGGCCCCCGCGTCTTCCTAGCCAGGCTTCTGTCCCCCACCCCACCCCCAACCCCCCTCCCCGTCTACACTAGAGCCTCACACCCCCGCACCCCGCGCGCAACCAGGCTGGTGTCCCCTAAAGGCCTCTTTCTATTCCTTAAGCGCGCGCCTCCCTGTAGCGCCCTCCGTGGGCCCCTGACCGTCCCCAGCGGGCCAGCGGCCTCCGAGCTCGGGGCGCCTCGCGCGCCACCGCCTCCCCCGGCCCTCCGCCCGCGCTCTCCCAGCGGCGGGAGTGCGCGGGGTGGTCGCCCTGTGCCCCGGCTCGGGGGAAACGCGCCGCTGTCCCGAGGCTGCACTACCACAGTAACTAGCAAATGTAAATAAGTTTATTTTTTTATGAATAATAAAACGCATTGTGAAAACGGAGTGGCCGTGGGCGCGTCAGAATGTGGTCTTTGTTGCCGTTTAAGGCGTTTGGTCCGAAGTTCATTTGAGGGTGCGTTCTTGGCTCTGCACTGGGACTGGTTTTTACTCCGCAGGACGGTGGTGATCACATTTAGATTCCTGCATTTCCCAGTGTAAGTCTCATCACTTTTACTGGTTCTTACCAGAAGCTTATTACACCGGAAGAATCTTTGGGGCCAGGGCCATTATGAAAGGTATACGTTCTACAAGGTGATATAGGCACACTTTTTACACACACACACACACACACACACACACACACACACACGATGATTTCTCCATCTTAAACCCCTACAGCCTGCACACTGGAGTGGGGAGGGGGGTAGGTCTCCGGTCTAATTGGCAGAATGAAATCATAATACAAGGCACCAAGTTATGTTTCAGTAGAGCTTTTCTCCCCCCCCGCCCCAAATAATGTTTGTATAGTGTTTTTAAAGCACACCACCACATTTTCCTTGTTACTTTCTTACATTTTCACTGCAATTTTCTTGGAAAGTAGTAACTGGGAAGCCATCATACGGGTTTTCAAATGCCAGTCTTTCTTAAAGCAGCATTCTCTTTGTAGAACATTTAGAACATTTGGAAAAAGTGTGGAGAAAACTACCTCAACAACTGCCTGATTTGGAGTAGTTTCGTTATTTTATAAAATTGAAAGGCAGTTTTCTTGACCAGAAAGAGAAAATAAAGCTGGAGTTTAGGAGAGGAGAGAGAGGTAAGGGAGCATGGTTTCCTGTTTTGAACTAAACTAAACCAAAACTCTGGATAAACTGCTTTCTGAGACCATTTTCTTGGGCTTTAGTCATAGGCGGAGGGATCGGGCCCTCAGGGTCTAATCTGCCACAAGAGCAGAAGTTGGCACAGCATTAAGCTAGTTGGTTTGTGCGGCCCCGGCGGCTCTCTGGTCGAAGCAAACTCGGGAGTGACTAGTGACCGGAAACCCCAGTATAGTGGTTTAAAGGCACTTAGGCCCCTGATAAGTTCTGGGTGGCCCGCGCCTTGGGGGTGGGGTGTCTCCTTCCAGGCCAGCTGTTAGACTGTGTCTTTTCCAAAGCGTCCATCAGATGGGATCTAAGAGAAGGCGGCAGTGTGCTACGTTGTTAAGGTGACCCTGAATGTCCACAGATCCCAACTTGAACTTGAAGCTCTGGCATCCACGGAACAGTGACCGTGCACAATCCCCCTAAGCCTCAGTTTTACCACCTACCAAATGGGAGTAATAATGGTGCCTACTTGGGAAGATTGCCGTCAGAAATAAATGTGAAAATATTTAAGCAACCCTTCTAGTAAGCAGTGAGCAGCAACTTACATGACTCTCTAAAAAAGCGGGGAGACACGCTTTGGCAAAGGGGGCACTTTAAACAGGTGGGGCATTTCAGGAATCCAGTCCTTAAGATTCATGGCCCAGCTTTAAAGTGCCTGGATTGCAACTGTAAAACAGAAGGGTCCCACAAAAGCAGACACAGAAAAAGTGAAAAAAAGGAAAAAAAAGAAGGGCTGTCTTGTAGTAAATACAGATAAGCAGCATTTGAATAAACAAGAAAATATTTGGGCAAATTTTCATAAATAAAAAAATATTTCAATATTTGTTTCTATATTTATATTCTCTTAGGGCACTTTAGGGATAAACTCACCAATTTCCTGCCCTTCTTCTATTCCCACTCCCCACACCGAAGTGGTATTCTTCACTGATTCATGTGTACAGAGTGTTCCTACCATGCACATTCATTTTGGTTGCCACTTTATAGAGAAGAAAAAATCTTTTTTAAGAATTATTTTGGGAGGCGCCTCGGTGGCTCAGTCAGTTAAGCGTCCAACCGCTGCTCAGGTCATGATCTCGCAGTCGGTAAGTTCGAGCCCTGCGACAGGCTCTGTGCTGACAGCTCAGAGCCTGGAGCCTGCTTCAGATTCTGTTTCTCCCTCCCCGCCCCTCCCCTGTCTCAAAAATAAATAAACATTTTTTAAAAAGAATTATTTTTGCTCCACAGTTTCTGTAAAAAGTCCAGTGCCAAGAATTTTGGTATTTAAAAAAGAGGAAGAAAGAAAGAGACCAATTTCTAGTAAGTCTCAGTGAATCAGTGTAAATTGCTCAAGCTTCTGGACAAAGGTAGCTGTGGGAGAGGTCTTAAGCACCTTGGACCAGTCTTTTCTTGATAGACCATGACTATTGTGCACTCTGAGTAGTAGAAAGGGAGCACAAAGCCTTCCTTATTTTCTTTTTCCTATATTTTCCTTTAGGAATTTGGGTTGAAGAAATGGGAGTTGGGGCTGGCTGTGGAGGAGGTTAGGAAAGAAAGAAGAACCTCTCTCTTACGGGTTATTTCATTTTGATTCTGCTACCATGTGAAAAACGTTGAGAGAAAAAGCTCTAAGAACTATTAAGTACTGAACAGCAAATAAAAATGAGTAAACTGAAAAATAGTCGTCAGGGGGCTTTTTGAGAGACCAAAGCATTATTATTAGTGATACTGACTCAATCAAAGAGAACAAAAAATCCCCTTTCACGGGCTCTTCCTAAGATGAATATTTTAAAAGAAATGCTTTCTGCACCGTAATCTTGAAACATTTAGGCTTGGTTGTGGATGTTGAATTGATTTTGTGTGTGTTCTTTTGCACTGGACTTCAAGTTACAACTTCTCGTCAGTCTGATGGCTCCTTCAACAGACTGGGACATTGACTATCACAATTTACAAGATTTATTTTTTGTAGGTACAGTTTGTTCCTCCTGGTGATAAGTGCTTCATAAGATTTTTTAAAAAAAGATACTCCCCTCCATAAGAAGAACTAAGTGGTACACATCCTATTTTAATAGGCAATAAGTGAATAGCTTGGCCACTGATATTGAAAAAAAATTAAAACAATAACTGAGAAAGTCATTTTAGTTATGTTTGGAAGAGCAAAAAATAGATAATGTAATAATTGTCTTCTCACTGCCAAGCATCTAACTTCTGGGAAAATTCACCAGAGAGTATGGATTGCCTCCCTCTGTAACAGAGAACCCAGCTACTTTCCTTTCACTGGGCAATTCTGCTTATGCCCTGAGGGCTTCCCCCCCACAACCATGCTCCCCCAATTCTCCCCCCCCCCGCCTCCCCAGTCCCCCTACCAGTTGCTTTTTTGCACTCACCGTTTATCTCCTCTTATATTCCACCTGCCCTTTGTATTATTTTTCTTCTCTCTCCCACAAAAGTGAAAGGTGAATCTATGACACTAAGAAGGTCTAGAAAGTCGCCAGAAACCTGAAATCCACGTGTTATTGTGTAAACACAATTAGCACTACTGCAGTGGTTATCTCCAATGATCACTTCTTTTTTTTTTTTATAATGTCTTTATTTTTTATTTATTTTTTTTTT